AAGGGGTTTTCAAGGCTAGTGAGAAACAGAGGGGGTTTGCCATTGGTGTCCACTGCAGGGTCTTCTTTGGTAGTGCCCTATCCAAGTACCAATCCTACTTAGCTTTCGGGATCTAATGAGATCCAGCTGCACCATACCATGGAAAATACAAGCCTTAAATGAAATGTTACTAGCTGACCTGTTGATGGAATTTCCAACAAATTGAGTTTCTAAAGGAGAACCAACCAACTCTTCCCATTAATAGAATATCCCCTGCCTAACCACTGTGGAGAATGTAGATTCGAGCTTCAGCTTCACCTGGGGTTGTATAGGGTGCAAATGCTTGCTGTTCCAAAGACGGTGCCGTCTGTTCTTGTAAACAGTGGCGTGGGCACAGTGGAAGCAGAAGAAAATATGTGTCATGCATATAATCTTAAGAATCAGATTACTGTGGAAAAATATCCGTGTCTTCAGTGCCACTCTTCTGAGATGAATTTGCCAGTGTCTGAAAAGCAGACTGGTACTTCAGAATAAAATAGAGAGCAGACAGGCCCCAAATGTCTTTGGTTGTAAAGGTGATCTTGTTCTTCCCGAAATGTGATGTCGCTGAAATTTCATTTATTTATTTAATTTGCTTGTGCCACATCTTTCTCCCCAATGAGAACCCAAAGCAGCTTACATCATTCTCCTCTCCTCCGTTTTATCCTCACAACAACCCTGCGAGGTAGGTTAGGCTGAGTGTGTGTGTGTGACTGGCCCATGGTCACCCACCAAGCTTCCATGGCACAAGTGGGTATTTGAACCTGGGTCCCTCGGATACTAGTCCAACACTTATTACACCACACTGGCTTACTTTATGCTGCCTATAAAGAGCACAACGGTTTGGAGTGGTCAGCCGGCAGAAGGGTATGCCGAGAGTTGCCTTCAGGTCAAAAAAGTCCACCTAGTCCAATATCTTCCCTCCAGCTGTTGTCTTTAGCAGTCTCTTTGCTCTGAGACAACCAGTGTTCCCTCTAAGCTGAGTTAGTGTGAGCTAGCTCACTGTTTTTCAGCCTCCAGCTCACAGATTTTAGTCTTCACTCATGAAGGATGACTCCAGAGCCAACTAATTTATGCAGGAGCCAAATCGCTCGCTCACAAATTTCATGCCAGTAGCTCACAGAGTAGAATTTTTGCTCACAAGATTCCACAGCTTAGAGGGAACATTGGAGACAACCACAATAATGTGCTTCTACGCCATGAGTATTGATGCTCCTGTGGTAGCAGTTTCCACTCTTTTTTTAAAAAAGCAAAGAATATCGCAACAAGAACAGGCAAGGGTTTTAAAAAAGAACAAATATTTATTATGGTGTACACATAAATAAAACATATATAAGGCTAAAAGAAATAGTCCAGATATCAGACTCTTAAAGCTTATAACATTCAGAGCTGCTAGTTATACATGTCCAATTGATGGGTAAATATTTGTATTTTTATAACCATTTATTTGTTCGCGTGACCCTCTTAGATCACAGCTACGTTTTGGGTTGAGTTTCCTCCCCCCCTTCCCCCCCTCGTTTTTTAAAAAAGAACAGTCTTTGAGTGGACAGTTATCCTCAAGGCGAACTTAGGCAGATCATGAGAGGGAGGGCAGGAAGTGTTGCCTCAGGGCTTAGTTCTTGTGGCCCTTTCTTACACGCCCAGGGAAATGCTGATCGCCACTTTGGGGACAGGAAGCAATCCTGGAGGTTTTCTGGGCATGGATCAGTGGTCACTGTGGGTGTGGAGGGGGAGGTATTTGTGAATTCCCTGCATTGTGCAGGGGGTTGGACTAGATGACCCTGGAAGTCCCTTCCGACTCTATGATTCTACGAAGGTAGAGGTGGTCTGAAAGGTGGGCTGAAAGGTGTCCAGAGGCTGAGACAATGGCATAGAAAGTCAGATAAATAAATTGTGATATCCATGTGCTGGTAGACACACCTCAGATATCCCCACCCTAGAATGATCCTGGCAATGGTGAATCTTGCCCTCAGTGCAAAGGGGGTGGATAGTGACCTTTCGAGGGATCTGGCTCAGAGGGTGCGGCAGTAGCAGCCTCTTGCCCGGTTTCTGTTGTCCATGGTGAGTTCCCCACTCAGAAACCCTCTCCTAGAAGGGAAATGGAACTTCCCTCTTTCAGTTTTTAATTAAGAGCATCCATGCTCAGATTTTAATGGCTTCATAAAGAATCCCGGCTTTTTCCACTGCAGGTGAATGAAAACATTTGCAAAGGAAAATAACAAGGCCGTTACTTTTACGACCCCCCCCTTTGCGCTAAAGAGCTTCTATCAAGAACATCATCAGGACAGACATAAAAAGCTCACGTCTTGATATCTTTCCAAGACACTTTCAGCTACTGTTAGTGGTGGCAGTGGGCCGGCTCTCTTGACCCACTGGGCGACTCCCATCAATGTCTGGATTTCCTTCATGGTTGATCTTGGGCATGTTTACTCAGGAGTAAGTCCTGTAGAATGCAGTGGGATTTAATGCACCATTTGCAGTGCATTGGATCAAAGTCTACATTTCGTCTTGCCAAGTTTGGAAGTGAAATTTAAAAAATCCTTGGAACAAAATTGAGTCCGGTGGCACCTTTAAGACCAACAAAATTTAATTCTGGGTAGATAATTTCAGTGCACGCACACTTCTTCAGAAATGGAAGTTACCAGTCCCTACATATAGGTAGAGGGTGAGCAGTAAATCAACATACAACGTATGGAAATGTTAAACAGATTCAAGGACCGAACAGGAATAACAAGCTAAGTTTATATGGTTACCATGAGTTTGGGTTAATTCCGTGGGGAGGGAACATAGTGAAGGACGTTGCTGGGGCCGGAAGAAGGCGTGAGTCGCGCGCCCCAAAGCCAACCCTCCCAAGCGCCGAAGTGAGCACCCCGCCGGAGACTGCCGAAGAAAAGACCTGAAGAGCCGAGTCAAGAACAACACCAACCACCACAGGGGTGCCGGTAGGTTGTCCCACCCCCGTATAGAAATGTGTGGCCCTAGTTAGGGAACAATTGTGATTAGCACCTGCCTGTAAGCCGCTCAGAGACTCCCTGAAAAAGGGGGGTTCGAGCGGGATATAAAGTTGAAAGTTAAATAAATAAATAAAAAGGAAATAAATATGTCAAAATTGGGGATTGATGAGCAGATGTATCCTTAATTGTGGAATGCTGAGAGTAATTAACTGAGACCCTGCCATGACGTTCCATCCATCTCCTGTCAAGCACGGAGGCAATTGCCAGGTAGACGTATGGCCTGAACAGTAACCAATCTCTCTCTTTCTCTGCTTCAACTGGAGAAGATGTCCAGAGGGCAGTTTCCAGCACTCCCAGCAGAACTGGGAATGTCCTGGGGGAAAGCCTTGGGTGTCAGGATACTTCCAGGCTTATTCCGGGAAGCAGCAGCTGCATAGCCCTGCCTGCCTCAGACTGGCCTAGTGGGTAAGCAGGGCAGGCGGAAGTGACCACGTTTGGGCTTGCAGAGGTGGTGGGTCTCGATTTCAGCAAAAGGGCAGCTGCAGCGATGATTGGGTCAGGGCTAGCCACTGGATCTCCTGGCCACCAGATCGCTAGGTTCCAGGACGTCTTCATTTCTGCAGAAGATGCCAGCTCCGTAACTCTTGGATCTTTGTCATCTTTACTGCAGACCCATGAGCAGTGTTCCCTCTAAGCTGAGTTGGTGTGAGCTAGCTCACAGTTTTTTAGCCTCCAGCTCACAGATTTTTGTCTCAGCTCAGGAAGGGTGGCTCCAGAGCAAACTAATTCATGCGGCAGCCAAATTGCTCGCTCACAACTTTAATGCCAGTAGCTCACAAAGTAGAATTTTTGCTCACAAGACTCCACAGCTTAGAGGGAACATTGCCCATGAGGTCATCTTGTGTTGAAGGGGAGAGCTGAGGCATTCGTCGCTGAAATGAGGCTAGGACCGGGATCTCCTTGACATTTGGTGACAGGCCAGCATTCTTTCAGCTCTGCTTCTTTCTCAAAAACAGGTGCTAATGCCTTTCCAATTGGGGCTGCTTGCTGGGCCGGAGAGAGAGAGGCACCCATGTCCAAAGCCTGACTTTCTGCTATTCCAGGCCTGGGCCTGGTTCCTTTCTCCTTTTTTGTCTCCAACTCCGCCCTCTCGTCTTCCCGTCCCTGCTGAGCTGTTGCTTTTCCCCAGCCTGACATGGTGCTCAACTTCCCGGCCATCGCAGCCTTGCTCTTGGTTTCCAATCCATCATGGGATCATGGGATTACCCTGCGGTTGCCATGGCAACTGTCTCTGCAGGCCAGCCGAGATCAATTCTCCTTCTCCATCCCCTCAGCAACTGCTGTCCCCTTTAAAATCCAAAGCATTCGCTGTAACTTTCATTGGCGGAAATAGAATAAGGGCAGCGTCTGATTGGGCTTCTTTCTGCTTTGATTATTTCCTCATTTGCAGCGCAGCCCAGCACACATCCAGTCCCTAGAAGACCTGTGTGGGGTGCTTATTATCTGAGAGTAGCCCTTGTGCCAGCCGAGCCGTAACGGGTTGTTTGTTACCGTCGTGACTTATATTGCAGACTGATCCTTTAGGTGGGTTGTCTTTTCTGTGGAAATTGTGTAAATGCCCCATAATTCTCCCTGAGTTGTTATCCACAGGCCCCCATGTGGCAGAAAGCAGCTCCCAGTGGAAGATTCTGCTGATTGTTTCTGTGGTTTACCATACATGGTGCTTTTGTAGGAACTGGTAGCAACAGCAGCAGAAAAGAGCAAGAGTCCAGGAGCACCGTAAAGACTAAGAATTTGTGCCAGGGGAGGAGCTTTTGTGACTCATCGCTCACTTCTTCAGATCTAGCTCTTTTCTTTTGCTACAGACAGACTAGCATGGCTGCCCATCTTGGGCCCCGGTCACACGTAAAGGTTTGGCCCGGGAGAGGGGCGGATTGGGGGCGCAGCAAACCGCCGCGATCTCACCGCAACATCTGGGAAGTGGTGCGCACCCGTCCCCGATCCGTCCCAACCCCCGAAAATGCGCAGCAAAAATACACCACCTACCGTGGCCGCATCAACACCAGCCGTGAGATCGCCGGTGCGTCCTTCTGCCGGCGCATCCCCGGCTCCTGGCTGAACTGCGCATGCTCAGACATGCGCAGTTTGGCAGTCTCCCGTTCCCCACCGTTGCTTTCCCCGGCATCTGATCGTGCCAGGGAGGGAATGGGCCGCTGCTCAGGGGATCAATGTGATCTCGCCGCAGCGTGTTTCTTTTGGTGCGGCTCTGATTAGCCACACTTTGCCCATTTTTTTTCTTGCCGTGTGGCAGGGACCCATGTAGCACGAGAAGAATTAGTAGGGCTCTCTCACCTAGTGGTGGCTATTCCCTGTACAAAATCCAGATGGAGAGACATTCCTTTTATTGACTATATCACTGGTCACTGGGGTAGATTTTTCACATTCTTCCCTCCACCCAATGTTTGACTGTAGCCTTGGGGGGGGGGGGAATTCCTTTTCCAGAAATTGTTTTCTGAGAGTTCCTGTTGTTTTCATTGATATAGAGAAGCCAAATAAAATAGTTCAAAAGGAATTCTATGTAAATCAAACGGCACTTCATGCTTTTTGTTGTTGATAGAAGTTGGCCTGCTCTTGTGTCTGTGGTCCCAGACTCCTTTTCAGGTTTTTCAAATGGTGGACTATGCCCTCCAGTTGAGAAGAAGATTTATCACCAGTGAAACCACCGATAGTGGGTGGCTTCTACCATCCTTCGTTCAACCTAAGTAGCCCTTCCTCCAGTGGGGGAGTGACTTACTTTGAAGGAAGTCTGCTTAAATTGGAGGGAGGCTTTGCACTTGAACCAAAAGGAAAGACGGTGTATAAATATTTTAACAAACAAAATAGAGTTTGCTGAGTGAAATAGTAGGACAGGGGTGGGATCTGCCACCATGGCTTTTGATCCAGTTGCCAGAGATTTCTATTTGCATGACTTTGCCCATTCGTTGCAATTGGAGATGAGAAGCTGCAGTTCCAGGAGTTGAAGCTTGGCCCCCCCCTGGGGTGTCTGGTTGGGCATAGGAAAAGGATCAAGTAATATGCTTCGCTTTTGGCTATGCGGCTTCGAAAATGACTAAAATGGAACTTGTGCTTATTTACTGCATGCCGCTCATGCCACAGTGGTGTGGCCACTGTGACACGCAGCCGTGGTTGCAAACCAAGGGCCCCGGTCACACCGCAGGAAAAGCCGGGGCGGAAGTGCGGCTTTTTAGAGCCACAGCAAAAGAGAAGCGCGGCAGCTGGATCGGACAGATCCCCCGAGCCGCCGCGCATATGCTCCCCAGTGTGATCAGATGTGAGGGGGAAGCCACGGACAGGAGAGCGAGGCGAGTCAGCTGCGCATGTGTGCGCCTGCGCAGTTCAGCAGAGGGCCTCGCATGCTGCGGGAGACAGGCACGTTGGCGATCACACGGCCGCCCGTGCTGTGGATTTTTCGGTAGGTAGTAGTGCTTTGCAGGTTTATTTTAACTCCGCATCTTCGGCCGGAAGAGACAGATCAGGGACGGGTGCGCGCTGCTTCCCAGATGTGTGTGTGTGTGTGTGTGTAAGTGTTCCGTGGTTTTAGTGCCAGAGTGTTGTGAGTGCCTCCACAAATGTTGGAGTCATAACGGGCCTTGTGCTGGTTAGTGGTCTTCTTGGATGCCTGAGTATTTACAAGGCTGAGTCAGCTTGGCAAAACGTACAGAAAAGTCACTATGCCTTTTGTGTCTGTCTAGTTATCATGCCCATTTTATCTTGTGGTGATGCCTGGCACTCAAAGCATTGTGCAGCCATTCCCCCCTGCAAGATTGGGTGCCCATTGCTTGGTAGGCATGTGTGCTCTCTGTGGGCTTCAGAATGGCGTAGTGTGCAGCAATGTTCCCTCTAAGCTGTGGAGTCTTGTGAGCAGAAATTCTGCTTTGTGAGCTACTGGCATTAAAGTTGTGAGCAAGCGATTTGGCTGCTGCATCAATTAGCTTGTTCTCTGGAGCCCGCCTTCCTGAGCGAAGACAAGAATGTGCGAGCCGGAGGCTAAAAAAACTGTGAGCTAGCTCAAACTAACTCAGCTTAGAGGGAACGCTGGCGTGCAGTTAACTGTGTAAACGAACCCAAGCTGAGCACGCTTTTTGTAAAAAAAATAATAAGTCTTCCGGATGCAGGATGTTCCACTGCCTTGGAAGGAGGTGGGTCTCAATGACAGGCGTTCTCTGGGGAATTGCTCTAGAATGCAAAATGCCGTTAGACACAACAGAGTTGAATCCAGTCTGTGACCCTGATGTATTTGGTTTGGTTCTCTACTTTTTAGGACCTCTGTCTTGGTTTCCCTGACCTAGATGGCCCAGGCTAGGCCAATTTCATCACTTCTGGGAAGCTAAGCAGGGTCGGCCCTGGTTGGTATTTGGATGGGAGACCACCAAGAAAGTCCAGGGTTGCTACGTAGAGGCCATGGCAATGACAAAGCACCTCTGAATGTCTCTTGCCTTGAGCTGGATAGCCCAGGCTAGCCTGATCTTGCCAGATCTTGGAAGCTAAGCAGGGTCGGCCCTGGTTGGTATTTGGATGGGAGACCACCAAGGAAGTCCAGGGTTGCTACGTAGAGGCCATCGAAAGCAAATCACCTCTGTTTGTCTCTTGCCTCAAAAATTCCATGAGAGATTGCCATAAATTGGCTGCAACTTGATGACACTTTACACATTCACACACACACACACAAATCTTAGTTGACTTTCCAATCCTTTCTCTTCCCACCCATCGTTTCTGTCCACAGGACATAGGCAGGGTTCTGACCCCAGCCTCAGCTGACGCAGTCCCTTCTCTCAGGTGCTGGATTGCAAAGGTTCTGTCTTTGACAGCTGCATTCCCTAAGCAGCTGGAATATCTGTGGATATCCCGTGCCATCTTGCCCAGTTCAAGCCGTGGATCTGGGAGCTTTCACTCCAGTGTGCCACCGGGGCAGGTGCAGTATAGAAGCAAGGAGACCTCTCAGTTGACACCAGTGCGGAGACGCGCAAGCGGCCATCTTGGATGGGATCTATCCACTGCAAGGGAAGGATAATGTCATTCCCAGAGCCAGCCTCCTTGCTCATGAATATCGCCTCCCCACCTTTAGGTTACGATGGCAACCTTAGTGCATGCGGTGGAAGCTCGAAGCTAACACTTTCGCTTAGGGATTCTGAGGCGAGGAAGAGCCTTGCGGAGGGGGAGTCGTGTTTTTTTTTATTGCCGCAGACGGGAGAAGTGTAAAATGTGAGTCGTCACCTGGCAGGCAGGCAGGCAGGGCTCTCTTCGAGGGAGAACAGGCGCCACGAAGGAGCCGCCTCGTGAATATTCATGAGCTTCCCATCCGAGCCACTCTTTGTCTTTTCAGACAGAGAGCCGCGGAGGACGGGCGAGGGAGAGGCAATCTCTGCTCCTTATCTTCTTCAAAAGAGATCGTAATAATTCCGGAGGTCTGAGCAACACTTCAGGGATATCTGAGACCCCCTGGGGCGCAGAAGGTGCCTCGGAGCAGACCATGCCGAGCCGCACGGAGCCAAATTGCTTTCCTTGTGAAGGCTGGGTTGCTCCAGCCATTCCTCCTAAGCTGCGTGTCCTGTTAGGCGCTGTCTATATTTAACCCAAAGCTCCGAGCTATCCCAAGAAATCCACATCAGTAAAGCGGCCTGCTTGCATTGGGAAGAGTCCTACCGCTGCCTGGAGGGTTCCCTCCCTGCCCAAAGCAACTGTGCCTGACTGCTGTTTGTTGTGGCTTCCTGGGATGCATTACTGTCGGTCGCAAAATGAGCGTCATTTGCCTTGTTTGGAGACTTGTGGCAAAACCGCTCAATGACCCATGGGACAAGAGGATTGCTTTCTCCGTGTCCTCGTAAGAACAGCCCCAAACCTCAAGGAAACCAAACAGCGGCAATAATGTTCTCTCGTGAGTAAGCTCCGCTTGACGTGATGAGGGATTGCACATGGATACACGTCCACCCTTGCACAGCTTGGGTTAATTTCAGCCGTGATGGGTGCAGAAGTTCCCGGTGGATCAGGCCCACTGTGTTCCAGCCGTTTGTCTTAAAGTAATCCTTGGCTTCTGGATGTGTGATTAGCTGGTTCTGTCTTGTGGTAGACCGCTGGAATTTTAATGGATTGAAATGACCCGGTAGGATGCTTATGGCCTCTCTCGTTCTCCGCCCGTGCTAAAAATGTATTTCTAGAGTCAGCAAACCTCAAAGAGAAAAGTTTGTGCCACATTCTCTTGAGAGGGACTAAATTAGCTTTCTTATTAAAGAATCGGTTCTTAGGGGGCAGCGTGCCCAGGGGTAATTTGGATGTTGCCGTCAGGAGGGATGCCGCTGTGGGATGAATGACATATCCAAAGCAAAAATGTGCGGTTTTCTCCCAAGCTGGTCGCTCTGGTGCACTGCAAGTCATTGCAGCATGTTCTTTTATGGCAGCAGGGCCCACAACTTCAGTCTTCTGTGCTGCTGGAAATTAGGCGCTGATGCCTTGCCACACGTCTAGTAAAAAATGGAAGGAATCATAGAGTTGCAAGGGGTCATAGAAGCCATCTAGCCCAACCTCTTGTTCAATGTAGGATCAGCCTAGAGCAGTGGTGGCGAACCTATGGCATGGGTGCCAGAGGTGGCACTCAGAGCCCTCTCTGTGGGCACGCGTGCCATCGCCCCAGCCAGGGCGAAATAATTTTAAGTAAATGAAAGCATTTGGGATTGCTTTCCTTACTTTGTTTGGATCATCTTAAGTTAATGTATGGGTTGTTTTTTTCCTAAAGTAAAACCTCAGTATTCAGGTTAAATTGCCGTGTTGGCACTTTGCGATAAATAAGTGGGTTTTGGGTTGCAGCTTGTGCACTCGGTCCCTAAAAGGTTCACCTTCACTGGCCTAGAGCATCCCTGACAAGTGTTCATCCAGCTGCTGCATGGCGACTGCTAGTGAGAAGGAGCTCACCACCTCCCGAGGCAGCCCATTCCACTGCTGAGCTTCTCTTACTGTACATTTCCCCCCTAATATCCAGCCAGTACCTTTCCACTCGTAATTTAAACCCATTCTTACGAGTATCCT